TAAAGCACTATAGTTTTCTGCTCCCTTCTTGAAAAGTCTACATGAAACTGTTCTTAACCAGTCTGCACAGTGTTGTTTGTGCTAAGATATGGAACTTACTGGGTAGAATACCATAAAATGTAGTAAAACAAACAAACAAACAAAAAAAACCAACTTAGAAGTCCTGGCAAAAGGAAGGGAAGGTAGTTAACGAGTTTGAAGTACAGTGTGTATCCCTGAGGTAGTCAAAATAGCCTTGGTAGTTTAAGTAGTGGTTTTTAGAAGACATTTTTTTGGATGAAGTCAGATAATGGAGGTATTTTAAGCACATCTTCTACTTCCTAGGTATAAAGCCTGCTGGTAGCAAATGGAGCCCAGAAGCTACAAAAAGATTTCATAAGTGCACTGCAGGAATGAAGCTTCAGGCCAGAATAATTTCATTTTCCAGAGATGGGGCAGGTGTAGAACTTATTGACAATTCTATGGGTCATCCAAAAGTGATCAATGAGATGCTAATTTCTGAGAAATTGGTTGAGAAGGAAGATCTGCAAGATAAAAATACTTTTCCAAGTAAGTCTGATGATAAAGGTAACTAAATGAATGTTAGCTTTTAGATTTGAAAAGAATTTTCAGCATTCCAGCTGTGAACCATCTTCCTTTTGTTTAATTATCGATGATATCAATAGTAAACATGCTTAATTTTGAGTATATCATGATATTTTTACAACTAAACAGAAGTGCACTGTGGGCATTACAGACAAAAAAAGGGAAGTAAAAAATCATTAGATTTGTCTTAATTGAATTTAAGAGGAATATTTGACAGTGGAGAGTTGAAAGTCTGCTATGTGGCTGAAAGTTTTTTCATATTTACTTCCCACTATCTTATTTTTAAGTGTTTTTTAGCTTTTCCTTACACTAATAGCTAATCACTCTTACTTAATTTGCTGTTTATGTTGTTTTATGTTTCTCCTCTTGAAGTATAGAAACTGTCTGTAAAATTCAAAATAACAGAATATCTGTTAACAGATATTTACATCATGTATATGCTTAGAGAAAAGCCTCTTGCAACATTTTCATGCTCTTTCTAATAGAAACCTCACTTGGGCACTGGGAATCAATAGAATTGGCAGTGGATCAAACCATATCTGTCTGTGTGACAGAAGTTAGAAGCCCAGACTTGTTTTATGTTATACCAGCTTATTGCAGAGGTAAGAAAGAGTTCTGTTCTCTGTTCCTGATATTGATAAAGTTATTGCTGTGAGTTAGTTAAAATGAATGCCTATAGTGAACTGAACTACTTGGAAGCATAGCTTAGACAGCAAAAAAATACAGATTAAAATAATAAAAAAAAAAAAGCCAAAGGCAAGGGTAGAGGAGGTGAAGAGTAACTACACTTCTCATTACCTGCAAATATGGTTAATCATCAAATATTTTTTTTTCCTGCAGATAGAGATAAACTACTTAAGCTGTTGACTGAACTACAGGACTATTGTAAATATTGTAAGAAGCAGCCTTTCAGACCAACGCTAGGTGAAGCCTGTTGTGCCAGGTTTTTAGGTGAGGGAATCTTTCATTCTTACACTTCCTTAACAGGCACAAAACATATTTTTCCCTTTCAAAAATGGAGAAAAACCTACTAAGTGTTCATTTTCTTTTCTTTGTTTTCCAAGAACGGTTTGGTTGTATTTTTAGAGCAAAAAGAGTGTGATAGTCCGGAAGAGAAAAGGGTAAATATATTGTGCAGAGCACAATATATGGAAGAGGACATATTCTGCTGATGCATAAGCTCAGTACTTAAAAGGTTTAAAAAAGAAAAGTGTTGACTGTGTGTGCCTTGCTACAGGAGATCTGAGTGCTGATCAGCCTTAATGTAGTAAATACTGTAAAATAAAGTGCTTGTTGAGATAGGAATTTATGAAAGCAGGGTAGATGAATTAAAAAAAAAAAGCTAGGCGGAACATAAATGTACATTTAATTGTTTGTTGGTTGTTTCTGTTGTCCACCAATAGCTTTTTTTGTTAACAGCAATCTGTGTTAATGAATGTAGTTTTCATTTCTTCTTGTTTCAATCTTTCCAGGTGATGGGCGCTGGTACAGAGCTGTTGTTCTAAAAGTTTCTCAGTCCACAGTTGAAGTACTGTATGCAGACTATGGGAACATAGAAAATGTACCACTTTCAAATGTGCTGCCAATCACTGATTCCTTCTTAAAGATTCCTTTTCAGACAATTACATGTTCACTTGCAGGTAAAAACAAATGAAAACTTTTAAAGTTGAAAGTTATTATAAATCTACATCTCTTCTGGTGATGGTATTCATTCCTGACTAATGATGAACGTAATTTATAGGAACGTGATGAATTGAAATAGTTATCACAGTATTAACCAGTATACTATTTCAGAAAAATTTCTTGAATAGTTGTAGGATCTTGGCTGTTTATTATGGAAATTCAGTATCATGTTTTCAAAAACTGTGATGTTATTTGTGAGATGAAGTGATTAAAAAAGGAACTCTTAACAAATTTGACTACTTTTTTTTTAGGAATAAAGAAAGTTGAGTGGTCTCCATTGGTTCTTGACACACTAAAGGAAATGTTACTGAATAAATATGTCACGATCACAGTGAAAGGGCACAGTGGAAATATTAAACTGGTAGAAGTGGAGAAAGAGAGTGAAAATGGTAGCCTGAATGTGGCAGACAAATTAGTAACGGAGGGTTTGGTGAGATACTGCAAAACTGCAAACTCTGATGTTGCACATCAAGGTACTTATCTTCACAGGCTTCTCAATTTAAACATAATTTGAAGAACTGTAAGTGCTGTAGGAAATTCCACATACCAGCTCACACGTGAACACTGCTTCCCTTAGTTTATCTTACTCTTTCATTTACTTGGTGTGTTTTGTTTGTTTTGTAGGCAGTAGAAGTGAGACCAAATGCTGCTGCACAGAATTAAAGATGCAGGTAGGTAAGAAACAGTGCTAACAGTCCTCACTTCATGTTAGTGTTTCCAGAATTTCTGAAACCCTAAGTGGGAAGCATATGGGAGTAGGGAGGTAATAGGTAACTGAAACACTGAAGATGAGAGAAAGGAATATGCCAGCTGTTTTCTCAGGTTTTGTTAAGGGCCTGAAACTGAGAAGACAGCATATAGATCACACAGGTTCCATTAGTCTATGCTTTGCCACACGTCCAACTCTGTTTTTTTTGTTTGTTTTGGGGGGGAGGTTGTAGGGTTTTGTTTTGTTTTCTCTCCTGGAGCATAAGGGCTCAGGATATCACCTTTCATGTCTGCTGTGTAAGGGTAGTTGCGGTGTTTGCATAAACTGCAGCATGCAGACAGTGGCAACTGGATATTCTTTTAGTAACAAAGCTGTGTTTTGCTGTGGATGCTGCTTGACAGACAGCTGTATGCATAAGGAAGCTTGAGATGTGTATTTCAGGTGGCACAGATGAATATTAATGCATGCCACATTCTGTCGTGAAGCAAGGCGTGAGCATTTGTGTTCAGAATATTGGAACTTGTAGCTGTTTGATAGTTTCAAGAGCTTTACCTCTTGGTAAATAATTAACATCCTGATCTCAGTCTTAAGAGTATTCCATCTATTCTGGTCATGAAATTATCTTTAAGAGGAAAAAATCAGAATTCAGGTGTGTTCTTTGAAGATCTCATTACAGAAAGGAACTGCAGTTCAATGAACTGATGTGGAATTTGTAGTTTTAGGATCTGCCTTAATCTGAAAAGCACACAAATTGTTTTATTGCTATTTCTAATGCTTTGTTTCTCCCACAGCTTAAAAAACATGAACAGGTTCTCCTCTTCCTTTTAAACAAACACCACAATTCAGACAGATACGAAGAAATGAAAAAAATGTTGGAAAGCTGAGTCTGAAGTTCTGTTCAGTTTATATGGAATCATGGAATCACAAGGTTGGAAAGGACCTACAAGATCATCTTCTTTGGAAGAACAGTTTTATGCATTGTATTAAAAATGAGTTGCTTCCTCTGTTGCTTAATTAACAGTATCAGTCTGTATATTTGGTCTGTTATCAAATGTATAACGTTAATGATTTCAAAGCTGCAAGCTGAACTTTTTGTTCTGTTTTTGTTTGGTAGCTCAGTGTTGATGAGCTTTTTTGTTTTTTATTTTGCTGTTGAATGCATGTAAGTTTTTGGAACTGTCACAGCATCTTGAAAATACTGTTAAATTAAAAATGATTGTAATCATAAAGCTCAACTTTTGGTACGATTGAAACTCAATTCTTTGAAAGGGTTGGGTAACAGCAGGACAAGGGGAAATGGTTTTAAGTTGAGGGAGGGAAGATTTAGGTTGGATGCCAGGGAGAAGCTCTTTACAGAGAGAGTGATGAGGTGCTGGAACACTGCCCAGAGAGGTTGTGGATGCCCCGTCCCTGGAAGTGTTCAATGCCAGCTTGGATGGGGCCCTGGGTAGCCTGAGCTGGTATTAAATGGGAAGGTTGGTGGCGTCTGGTGGGCGGTTGGAGATTCATGATCCTTAAGGTCCCTTCCAACACTGGCCGTTCTGTGATTCTGTCATTGATTTTACTTAAACAACTCTATCTTAGCCTTACTAGTCTTTTGACTTAATTTTATGTCTGTGTAAAGTTAGACAGCATCATTAAAGGCTGCCTTCTTGGTTTCTACCTTGCCAGTTTTTTCACACTAATAGAGAAGTCCTCTTTTGGGATATGGCAATCCATTAATGATTTGATGTTTCTCTATTGCAGCTGCTCCCTTGCTGTTCTGCTGTCAATGCTGTGCTCTCCCTTGTGTTACACACATCTAGGTGATACACCCACTGTATAATATAAATGCTGTGATAGAAACTACCATTGAAGTACTTTTATGTAGAAGAGCATCAGTGGCAGTGGCCCTAAACCCTCCAGGTGTGCCCTCACCATGCAGCATAAGGGTACAACGCCCCTCAATCCCCACTTTTTAGATGACATCCTCAGAGTATTTAAAGACCACCTTCCTCCCTGCTCTAAAAGACGGCTGCGAGCACAGCGCCGATCAGCCGCACAGCTGTATCCCACCACAACCTGCGGGGCGGTCCGGGCAGAGGCAGGGCTCCGCTCCCGGCTCCTCCTCCTCCCCGCGGAGCCGCTGTGGGTCGCGCAGAGCCCAGCGTGGAAGCGCCGCCGGTGAGCCCCGGTCCGGGGATGGGTTACGGGGAGGCGGGCGTGGAGCCGAGGGGCCGCGCACGGGCAGCGCTGGGGAACTGCAGCCGGGCGTTAGTTGGGGGATGAGGGATGGGGGGAGCATCGCCCCGAAGTCCTGTGTTTGTGGAGCAGCAGGCAGCCAGACCTAGCCCTGCTGTGCTGCTCTCGGCTGAGTCGTTTCTGCAGGGTGCGGTAGGGGAGAGGTGCTGAGCGTGCCGGGGCAGCTCCCAGACGGGCTGTGCCTCGCGTCTTGAGTTAAGACTGTCTGCAGAAGACGCAAAGACGACTTTATTGAGGCTCCACAGAGACTGGAGGACCTGAAGCGATGTCTGTAGTGTGCCTAGGCAAAGAGCTGAGAATGCTTTCAGCCTTCGGCTTTGTGCAATGGGGCTTTCCCTGGTGTGGCACGATGGCTGAGTGAAACAAGAAAAAAAATCTCCTGATCCTATTCTGGTTCTGTAGAAAAATTAACCGTGGAAGATGCCTGCATTGTGAGGCTCCTTTAGGAAGGCTTCGTCCTGCAGTGCAGGTAGCAGCCTGTGTGCATCTGCACGAGGGGTGCCATAGCAAAGGCTGGCCCTGCAGCTCACAGGGCTCCTCACTGTGTGTTGCTCTGTTAGAGGGGTTGAACAAGGAGTGAGGACATCTGGGCACGGTGTGCTGAGGTGGAGACGATCCGTCTCACAGCCATGGGACAAGAGGTTCAGGTTGGATAATAGGGAAAAATTACTCACAAGAGCATTGAGACAATTGGCACGGGCTGCCCAGGGAGGTGGGGGAGTCACTGTTCCTGCAGTGTTCAGGAAACACAAAGATGTGGGACGTGGTCAGTGGGCATGGTGAGGATGGATTGATGGTTGGACTGCATGATCTTAGAAGTCTTTTTAACCCTAATGATTCTACATCCTGAGAGCTGAGTTGAGTAACAGAGATGACAGCAGTCCAGCCTGTGCTGTAGGTAGTCAATACAATTTTAAGGCTTGAAAAGCTACGGTTTGTCTCTTTCAGTTTTGGGTGTATGGGGAAGAACAAAGCAGAGCTCTTTCCTCAAGAGGAAGGTTTGCTGAGGCACATGGTGCTGATCCTCACCCACCTGCTTAGGGAACTGCTTGCACCTGCCCATGATGCAGGTCCATCAGTCACTGATCTGCCTCAGCTGTGGCTGCTCCTGCCTGGGACGTGCAGAGTGGGCACCAGCTGCAGCTGTTCAGAGCTGCAGGGGATGATTGTAGGATTCACACCTGTGCCCATTGCCTTGAATTAGCTCCCAGCTTGGTACACCACCACGTATTCTGTTTTTTCATGACCTTGGTGTAGTTATATTTGTATCTTTCTTTACCTTATGCTGGGCTGATTTATGTCAGGACCCCAGGTTCACACAGGTTCCCTTCTCCCCAGCCACAGAGCATTTCCTCCTATATTCACACTCACTACCCACTGCTGGAAGCAAGCGCTCTGTGCCTGGACTGCTCAGGTGGGCTCTGGCTCCCTGGGATGCCAGCAGAGGATCAAGAAGAGATGTTAATGGAATGCACTTTCTCTGGGCAGGAGAAAAACCCATTGAAGCTGTTACTTGATGCAAAGCCGGGTGTTCTGGATAAAGTAGCTGGTTTTGTAGAGCATCTTATGACAATTTTAATCTTGTTTCTCGCTTGTAGAAAAACATCATTGGAAGCTGTAGAGTGATGTTTTGGTGTGTATTTGAGCAGTAGTTAAATGTTTCCTCATCCTCTTTCTCCTTCCTGCAATTCTGGCTGCTGTTCCCCCCTTAGCTATCCCCAGCCAGGGCAGAGTGGGTGCCTGGGGCTCCCCATAGTTGTGTCCCACCTACCTCTTAGCTGCCCACTGAGGAGATGAAGCATCCTGAACTGTATGTGTTCCAACCAGTGCCTTACTTTGGAAACCAAAGAAACTTTTCAAGTCCTCACTGCTTTGGTTGAAAACAACCCCCAGATCTCCCACAGCTGTCCCCTCTGGCTGCAGGTGGAGGCTTGCCATTCTTTTGGTGTTGTCTGCTCTGGGATTAGCTCCTAAAAAGCTGTCCTGGGGGCATGGCAGTAGCATGACCTTCCCTCCTGGGCACATGCTGGAGCTACTGAGGGGCACAGGGGCTGCCTCGATGAAGTTGTGGTTTGTGTTTGCCTCCCTTCACTTGAGCAAACCTGAGGTCTGTTCATTTGGCCAGGTGATGCTTGTGAAACACTGGGAACTGGAAGCTGCAGGCCATGAAGCCTGGGCCATGACCAGGAGGCTGGGGTGGGTGCCAGAATGCTCTAGAGAGTACGCACAGCCCTCTTCATCTGGAGAAAAAATAAATATATGTATTGCAAATGGAAAGCCAAGGCCTCTGAATCTAAATCTGGGCCTGCTTGGGAGTGCTGCTGCAGTCCACCAACAAAGCAACAGCAGCCTTTCTGACTTTGAAGGAACAAAACGAGCAGAAAGTTGACCTTTCTGGATGTTTGCACATAAAAGCATCTCCAGAGAAAGCCAGTCCTCAGAAAATAGAAGGCTGGAAGAGCCTGTGGCTGGGTGTTGTTGGGGATGGGCAGTCCTTCCTTTCTTGCAAAGCTGCTTTCTCTGCTGTGGGATGAGCACACAGGAGGAACTTTCTCTTCTATCACTCCTTCTATTTGGATGCTTTTCCCCCTATTTCCTACCCTTCTCCCCATTGCTTTTGCCCTGAGCACGTGTTTCAGAACTCCTCACGTGAGGCAGCCAGCAAAGAGATGTTAGCTGTAGGTGAAGAAACCTACTTTAGGAATTGGGTTAATTGGGTTCCTTCCCTTTTTTTCTTTATTTCAGATTTGTCACCATGAATCTCTTGCCATTCGAGTCCCTCTGTGCTTTCCTGCTTCCCCAAGGTATTGAAAGCCATCTTTTTGCATCAGGGGTTTCTGTGGCAAACGTTTCCCTACTTCCAAATGGAGTTCTTTGTGGGAGGGATGAGCTGAACTAGGAGAGTTTGGGTAAAGCTCTGAAATGAGGGGAAAAAGCAATACCTGGAGAAATAGCTTTTCAAACATGTGACAGACTGGTATGTGGGGAGTCTGTTCCAAACAAAAGCTGATTATTTTGATACTCAAAGTTCATAGATGTCTCCAGTTGCAGCTGCATGGTGTGTATGTGCCTCCGATTGTGATCTCCAAACCTGCCCGAGCTCTCATTCTTGGAGTCCTCTCATTATCTTTTTAAAGGCAGCTTCTAGTGTTGATGGGTGATTATCTGATTGGTCCCACAGTTTGGTTGGCATCGGGCATGCAGGAAATCCATGCTGACCGGGAGACGATTGGCAAGATCTCAGCTGCTGGCCAATGTAAGTTTGTTTTTATAAAGCAAGTCCTCTACCTTCTGAATTCTATGTCAGTGCCTTGAAAAGGTCTCTACGGAGTGGGCAGGCTGCCAACAAGCTCTGCTGGCGTGTTTCTGCAAGCAGGGGTGACACAAGGAGAGGTGGGTTAATGAGTAGAGAGACATCTCTTCAGTGCCTTGCAATTGCTCTGAGAGTTTGTTTAGAAAACCAGAGTGTGCTTTGGGAAGTGTGCTGTAGATGAAGCACATCTGGCTCAGCGGGATGTGGTGCACCCTGTGAGTGCCTCGCAATTCTCTCTTGTGCCTCAGGCTGGGGATGGGGCTCCCTCTGTGCTTGTGGTCTCTCTACGTCCACTTATCAGAGCTGCTGGCTCGGTTGCTTTGCTTGGGCTCACAGTGCCATGCTTGGAATCTGAAATCTCAGGGGAAAGTCTTGTGAACTGTGAGCACTGAACAGAACAGGAAGGGGGGAGCACGCAGGGCTTGGGCTGGGAGTGTGGAACTGTTCCAGTGTGTGCTCTGCAGGACCAACTGTCTGCATTTTTTCCATTTGCTTCTAGAAGGTGAGACAAATTCAGGTGATTTTATTTCTTTTCCTTTTTCTTTTTTTTTCCATTGTTTTCTACAACATCTGCCCACCCACCTTCTGCAGTCACCTGTGACCCAAGCGTGTATCTTGTTCTCTCCTAGTGATGTGGTGCTCAGCTTCTGTTGATATCCTTTTCCTCTTGGATGGCTCCTACAGCATTGGCAGAGGCGGCTTTGAAAGATCGAAGCACTTTGCAGACAAGCTCTGTGATGCCCTGGACATCCATCCAGGCAGGGTGAGTGTTGGGAATGATTCCTTTTGCTTTTAAGCAGCTTGATGAAGTGTGAGAAGGCCAGTGGAAACTTACTGAGTGAAATGGCAAAATTCAGCCTAGCAGCTACATGGGTAACAGCAGGTCTTGGTCAGATGCCCTGTTGTTTCATCCCTGCAATATTTGCAGATTCTGGGGGCTGCTTTCTCAAATACTATACTTTTCCTAGTCTTTCTGTTAAATAGGACTGAAAATCAGTAGCCCTTTTAGCTTTGAAGATGTCACATTCCACTTCTTCTAAGGCTTCAGTGCGATATTCTGGGCAATATAAATGTTTTTGCCCGTTTATGTTTTCGGGCATTTTCAACTATAGTGAATGGTTTTAGGGCAGGCAATGGAAAAATAATTGCCTGCTGTGCTCAATGCAAGAAGGAGCTGCTGTTAGTAATGGAAACGCTGCCCCCACAGTGTCTAATTGGTTTGGTATAAAAGGTGTTACTTATAAACTTACTATGTTTTTGAGGCTCTGAGCTGCTCTGAGAGGATAAATACGGATCTTGAGCTGCCTGCAGCTATAGTAGAGGCTCCCATGTTGTTTGCAGCTGAGCTTTTTTTGCCTTGTTTGTAATCTGTAATATTAATGTGCCCTTTTCTGAAGTTCATTTAGAGTGCCAGGAGTTTGGCATGCAAAACAGTGTTTGTTGTGGAAGGATTTAGTGTTCTCCAATCTGTAAATTGTTCAGAAGAGTGACACCCACACAGACACCTTTCTTTCATACTCTAACCTTTCCTTTTAGGTCCGCGTAGGAATGGTACAGTTTAGTTCATCTCCCCACCTTGAGTTCTCACTGGATTCCTACCTAACCAAACAAGAAGTGAAAGAGATGATCAAGAGGACGGTGTTCAGGTCAGCTTATTCTGAAGGTCTTCTCTTTTTCTGGGCTATGAATGATTTCTGCACTGAGAATTTACTGAAGTGTAGATGTTGGCACCTCAGCTGTGTGTTTCAGTGTGGTGCACTCAGGAAAGGGGATGAATGTCCAGTGTCTGTGATCCATGATGCATGGTCTGTCTTTGTCACTGCAGGCTGATAGGGATGAAGGCTTTCAGCGTCCCTCTGTAAGGTGGTAAATAGAGGAGTGTTTCTATGCTGGGCAGTGGGTTATGTCCTTCCTCAGGCAGGAGGTGCTGGGTTGGAGTGCCCTGCCATCGTTTGCAGGGCTGCTGCAGGGATGTGCTCACATACTCACATCCATAGCTTATAGAAGCAACAGCAAGCATTGTCTTCCCATCCATCTAAGCATTGACAGGACAGTGTGCAGCTTGCATTTCTGGTGATTACAATTTCCTTTGTCCTTGGAGGTAGTGATGAATTGCTGGTCCCTTGAAATCTGTGCATGTGTGCCTGCTGAATTCAAGAGGATCTGGTTTTCAGACAGAAGCCTTTTTCTTTCTGAATGTTAAGACTTGGATGTGTTCCCATGACCTCAGGAAATAGAGCAAGAAGCCCAGAAACTCTCAGAGGCTCTCAAAATCCAAACTTTTAATCTCTGAGTAGTATTTTTGGATTTAATAAGGATCTGACATCTACCCCAAATAACTCTTGTTCTGATGAAAGGAGTGTCGATGCAGCCTGCAGGTGCCTGCTCCTTCTTTTGTCAATCTGCACTAGTGCTGCAGGTTGGCTGGGCATTTCTCAGGGATGTCTGCTGCTCTCAGCATACTGCAAGCAAACTGATCAGTTCTGACTTCCAGACAAGATCAGTCAGCTGGGTTTTGTTGCACTACTTTTGATAAGCTTATCAAATCTTGTGTAACGTTACAGAGAAAACTTAGCAGAAAGCAAGACGCATTTCCCTTCCTTGGCTGTGGCTTAAAGGTCTGTGAGAGCAGAGAAAGAACAGCAGTGTTCAGTGCCTGGCAGTGAAATTTCTTGATGACAACAGATGGATACTGACAGATCAAACAGAAATAATGACCTTGCGCTTGGCCATTTCATCTAGTTTAAATGAAAGCCTGACATTTCAAAGTAGATAAAATAGTTACAGACAGATCCCAGTTGGCTTCTGCAGAAGCAGGGTGTTTGGTGTCTTGGTTGAGAGCCTTCCTGATGTGCTTCTGATGAGCCTTTGGCCAGCAAGGCATTTCCCAGCCTCACCCCCTGCTCCTGGTGCAGTAATTCGGCAGTGATCTCAGAAGCAAAATCTCTTATAAATTTGTTTCATGCAAGTTCGGTCACAGTAGAGAAACTTTAGTGGTCTTTCTGAGGAAAAGTAGCAGATGAAGTCTGCATCAACTTTGGCTTCAAAAAGTCCTTATTGGGTGTGTGTTTAAGGTCTTCATCCACTGTGCCAAAAGCCAGTGAAACTCCAAATGCAAATCAAAAAGAAAGCAAGCATAATGAGCTTTGATGGATGGAGACCCTTTATTAACTTTTTCTAATCCTTGGTGCTCCAGAAGGCACGGTTTGCTGTGTCCATCAAGATGTTGTCACCAAACTGTGCGCTGTTTCCCTCGTGCACTGCACTTATCACTGAAGCATCTGACAGTTGCTGACATCTGGTCAGGAAAAAGGCTGATGTGGACATACCATGAGCGCACAGTCACTGAGCATGCTTTGAGATGGTGGAGAGCAGAATGAATTTTGAATTGAAATGGCCTGGCAGGTATCGGGTTAGAAAGTCTCTGTGAAAATCAGAGAGTAGACAGAAAAGCAGGAACTTGGGGGGCTGGAGATTGGTGATCCTTGAGGTCCCTTCCAACACAAGCCATTCAATGATTCTATGAGCTTGGGCATGATCACATGCTTTTCTAGAACAAGCATCTAGATAGTAAAGCAAAAGAAGAATGTTCAGAAAGGAAATGGGAGAGTGAGTGTCTCAGCACCGTTGGAGGAGGTGCCTCCAAGAGGCTGGTGACACTTTTGTTTTGGCTCCCCTTGCTTGCTCTGGCTAGAAATAAAAGCAACCCTTTAAGGCTGTCACAGGAAGAGATTTATAGCACAGCTTCTTGGGTGGAATTAGATGACAGCTGGAAATGTCTCCTCTCATCTAGCAGCTTAGTTATCAGCAGGTCTGGAGTGTGTTCCTAGAGAGATGGGCTTTGTCTGATATTGCAAGTCCAGTCAGGGGCAGCATACTACAGAGCTCTTGTGTTGTGCCAGTGGAGAACTACCAAGAAAGGCGAGACTTTCTCCTGCCTGTCTTTGCCCAGAGAGGTGGTGGATGCCCCATCCCTGGAGACGTTCAAGGTCAGGCTAGATCAGGTTCTAAGCACTTGATCAAGCTGTAGGTGTCCCTGTTCACTTGCAGGGGAGTTGGACTCCAACTCTCTCCAACTTTCTTCCAACTCTAAGGATTTTATGATTCTAAGAGCCATCCTCTGCCTCCTCTCTGAGGTCCCTGTTAGGTTACCCATAGTTTTTTGTTTGTTTGTTTGTTTTGAAGTAAGTCTTTGTTGTTTTGGTTGTGTATATTCCTGCTAGAGACTGTCATTTCGTGTATCATTTTTATGACATTTAATGGTATGTGGAACATGGAGCTCACCCTTGAGTAGGCATCTGAAACAGTCTTTTCAAGTTAAGTCTTGTAAGCAAAGAACAGTCTGTGCCCCACAGAGCTTGCTATCAAGTAATGCTAGTGTAAAAGTGCAGCCTATAAAGACAGGCACATCTTGTATTTTCTCTTGTGTATGCATAGCAGTCCCCTTCTTATTGTCCTCTATAGCAACAGAGCACAATAGCAATGAAATAGCACCTTTAGGGGAAAAAAAGAAAGGATTCTTTGGCAAGCTGTACCTTGTTTTCTGAAGTGGCATTTAAGGTTGCTTTGCTTGGGAGTTACTACCCAGCTGCAAGGCTTGAGGTTTGCCATTCCTCAGCACTTAGCAACAGCCCATTTTACCAAGTTGATTTGTATCACTGCTGGAATGTTGTCCCTTGGCACCTGAGTCTTGGTGCTTTGTTACTGTGAGGATCAACAATTATTGAGCTAATTACTTCCTACCCAGAAACATTCCCTTCTCCTGGGCTGAAATCAAGGTCTGCCAAAATATTGAAATGGCTGGCATGCATCCACAAACTGCTTTTGTGGGGCCAGGCAAGAGGGAGAAAATGGTTTATCACAGGGCACAAGTGAGCTGAAGAGGAAAACTCATTGTGTTTAAAATGACCCCGTGCCTGTTTCACATGATCCCATCTTCAGAATGAGAAGTGCTGCGTGCAGCCTGTGTGAATGTCAGTGGCTGATTCAGCTTCTCTGTCATACCAGCTCTGCTGTATACAACGAGGTGCTTTCAGTTGGGTTTAGTGGTGGTGTAGACAGCTGGAGCGCCAGGTGGCTTTTCTTTGTGCTTACTTTGCTAAGGGGGTACTGGCAAACCCCTGAAGAAAACATGCCTTGTATTCGTTCCTTCTGAGTTTCTGGGGATGTGCTAAGAAGCTTTCAGCATTTGTATTTTCAGAAGCTTTCCTACAGGATGGATAAGTTAACCCTTAGATTAGCAAAGGAGAAAAAAGCATGGACTTCCTGCACGCTGCTGGACTGCAGGCTCTTGGTCACAGTCTGCAGTGCATAGCTCTCCTGCTGTAGGTCTTGGTCTCAGAACTGCAGAAGATCCACTGGAGGGAAAGGGATGACATATAACAAGAGTGTAGAGCTCTCCTATGCATCAGGAGAAAACAAACACCAACATCTCAGAAGTTTTCCATGTTCTGCCCAGCTGTGCTATGTTTCTGACTGGAATCTAAGAGGTTATTGTTAAACAGTGTCTCCAAACAGCTCTTAAAGGACTTTCAGATGGAAAAACAGAAGCAATTGAGGCATCTATCGCAGCTGGAAATAATTCAAGTATCCTATAGGTCTGGTTCCTGCTCTGATTGCAGGAGTGCTCTACTGTGCTAAGTCTTCTGGAGACAGCTCTGGATTGAAGAGGAGAGATGCAAGGATAGATGGGTAGGACCTATGGAAAGATGACAAAAGTGGCAGCATTAGGCATATCTCTGGATGCCCTGTGTGGCAACAGACAAAAATATGCAAAGTTCCTTGCTACTAGAGGATGGAAATTTGAAAATCGAAAGGAAAATTCAATAGCAATAGAAGAGGTTTGATTTCTGGTTTTCCAATGTTATCTCCCTTGTCTTTAGAGGTGGCAGCACAGAAACTGGTCGGGCTCTGAAATACATTCTCCATAAGGGATTCCCTGGTGGCAGGAACTTGACTGTCCCCAAGATCCTGATCATCATTTCAGATGGGAAGTCCCAGGGCAGTACCGCAATGCCTGCCATGCAGGTGAAGGAGAGAGGGACAACAGTTTTTGCAGCGGGAATCAAGTTTCCAAGGTAGGAAACATTTGGAAATGAAGGCCTGGTTCCCCAATGCCAAGTGTGGGGTTTGTTTTGTACTCAATTCTCTGGGGGTGATGTAGGGTCTGGTTATACCAGTGGCTGAACCCTCTCCTCTGCAGGTGGAAGGAGCTGCATGCTCTGGCCAGTGAGCCCACGGAGCAACACGTGCTCTTTGCCGGCGATGTCAGCGACGCGGCCAATGGTCTGTACAGTGCCCTGAGCAGCTCCATCTGCAGTGTCACCACACCAGGTAACCCCAGTCCTGGCCCCTCCTTACACCTCTACTTTGAACTCTGTTTGTGTCACTGAGCGAGGAAAGATGAGGTGGTGTCAGAAATGGTGCCTACAGCCAGGGTGTTTGAGGTCTGTGTCTTGGAGCAGTCACATTGAGGATCAATCACTTTGAGATCACCTGTTTTTGGTGAGCAGACATGTCAGATGCCTCTCCAGACGGCTGTAGGTTGCAGGATCCTACGTCTTTCTGTGGCATTCACCTCATAAAATGGGAATGTTGCTCCTTGCTCATGTCCTGAGTAACAGAGGGATTATTCCTTCTAGAGATTCTGTCATTTCACAGATCATTTTTGATAACATTTCATGGTACATAGAGCATAGAGCCACTTCTTGCATAGGCACACAGCTGTGCTAAATCTTTTAGACTTGGCTGTGTGGTAAGTCAGGCAGGGGCTCACAAGAGATGGAAGAGACAGCCATGTGGAGACTAGAGTGGTCCATAGGTAAAAGCAAATCAAATGTGTGAATAATGAAGGAACCAGAGGAGCTGAAAAGTGCTGCTGAACTCAGCAGTGCCAGCTGTGTAACAGAGCAAAGGTGGCAGAAGAGTGTGTACCTCGAAGATGGAATATACTGAAATTGACCACAGAGAATTTCTGTTCTGGGGTCTCACAGAGGCACTTTTGATGGGTGAATTTGCTTCAAAGTGGTGCTCCATGCCTACACGGACTCTGTAGTTTTAGGCAGTTGGCCCCAATTTGATTTGCTCTTTGCTACAGGTTGCAAAGTTGAATCCTTCCCTTGTGAACGCAGAACTCTGGAGACTAAGAAAGAACTGGCTGGAAGCTATGTCTGCTGGAAAGGCTCAAAGCAGGAGAATGCAGTGCATGCTTCACTGTGCCCTTTTTACAGGTGAGTCTGACACCCACATCTGACCATGGCTTTCCTGGGATGAAGACTTTTTCAATATGGCATTTCTTCAATGTACACGCTTGTGCTAAAGGCCTTTATTTCATAGAATCAGTTAGGTTGAAATGACCTCTAAGATCATTGAGTCCAAAAGTCATGTCTTCTTAGATTAAGGAAACAATGGAGTGAGTTGAAAAATCCTATGGGGAAAAGCATAGTTAAGGGCTGAGGTTTCCCAGTCTAAACCTTGTTTTTCTGGTTCCTGTTGCAGCTGGATAAGCTAGATGCCTGAATTAATGTTGAATAAGAAATTCACACTGCTATAAAATTTTCATTCCAATTTAGAACAAAAAAGTTAACATATCTTCATAGCAACTTAAAAAAAGAAATCATTTGAAGCCTTAAAGATATGTCTATAGTCCTTAATTCTAGAATGGTGGAAGCATAGACTATCCTGAATTGGAAGGAACTTAAAAGGATCATCGAGTCCAAATTCTGACTCCAAACAGGATCACCCAAAAATCAAACCATATGTTTGAGAGCATTGTCCAAATGCTTTTTGAACTCTATCAGTGTTACGGTAGAGTTCAAAAGCAAAAGAGCAGACTTGATAAAATGAAGTGTTTTAGTTTTGCTATTCCACTTAGAATAGATGTTTTCCTTCAAAATATTTGTTTTGAAAAATTGCCTTTTCAAAGGAAAATTTGTTCAATTGAAAACAAAGTAATAGCCTTGAAGTTCTCTTGTTAATCTTTAAAGCTACAATAGGTTTTATTCTCTTGTTCAATAATAAACTTGGCATTTCAGATTGAAAAGAGTCTCAGTAAAACACCCATCCAGATGCTTCCGAACCACATGTACAGGTAGGACTATTATCTCTTTTGAATTCTGTTTACAAAGCAGAGAAGGTAACAAAGAGGTAATTTTTACCCTCACTTCTAAAACTTTTGTTCTGAGTGAGAGTTTGAGGCACTGAGTCAGGTTGGAGGCTAGTAGCTAGTGGTGTCCCCCAGGGCTCTATACTGAATCCAGTCTCATTCAACATACTCATCAGTGACCTGGATGAAGGCACAGAGTACATTCAGCAAGTTTATTGATACCCAATTGGGTGGAGTGGCATATACACTTGAGGACTGCACTGCCATTCAGAGAGACCTTGACTGGAGATGTGGGCAAGAAGAACATAGTGAAGAACATCTTTACATGGACGTAAATTCACTGGCATTATTGCAAAGCAAAAGTAGTGAGGTTACAGTCTGCTTTGCTGTCTTCACTCCTGCCAGCTGTTCCACCTGTGTGAAGATGCACATGGCCCTGCATCAGTTCATGCTGCAGGAAGATGGGCTGAAGTTTCTGCGGAAAAAGGGCCAAACGGTTGTGTTTGTGTTGTCACAGGATGGGAAGGTGCACACTCCCTGCTGACTTTACATCTTCTTCTTCTTTGGTTCCATTTAGATCCTTGTGACTCCCAGCCGTGCCAGAATGGGGGTACGTGTGTCCCAGAGGGACTGGACAAGTACCACTGCCTGTGCCCTGTGGGATATGGAGGAGGCATACACTGTGGTAGGTGTCAACATGACTTCTCCGTCCTTCCTTCTCAACTGTGTCTTGCCTTGGTAAGTGCCTGTGGCATGGCCATGGGAATGGCTGGACTTAGGCTGCAGCCTTTGGGCTGTGCTCCAGGGGATCAGCTGAGTTTTCTCTTATGCCATTTTAATATGACTGAATCAAGCCTAGTGACTGGGTCTCACCAATACTGATAACATCACCCTGGTACGACTACCTTAAACGTAGGTAGAACACGAGTAGGAAAACAGAAAAACTGGGAGGGACATAGAAGTGTTTGTCCCTGCACAATGGGCCCAGGAGGGACTCCCGATTTGGGGAGTTCACTGTAAGCCTTTAGAGGCTTGTGTGGCACCCACTCAAAACAAAATTACTCTTGGCAGAGCTGCTCTGCAGCTCAAGCCATATCTGGCAAACCATTTAGGTTGCTGGACACAACAGACCTTTCTACACCACCAAGCTTCCAGCAGGCACCAGCAGAGGCGCTCAGCATGATTATTTCTGCCATTCGTCAACAAACTGCTGTCTCTCTTTTCAGCGCCAAAGCTGAGCCTTGAGTGTGGTGTGGATCTCCTTTTCCTGATGGACAGCTCAGCAGGGGTCACACTGGAGGGATTCCTGCGTTACAAGGCGTTCCTCAAGAGGTTCCTTCAAGCAGCAATAGGCTGGGACTCACCTGCAAATGTGGGGGTGGCTCAGTACGATACCAACGTCAGGATACCCATTGAAGTGGGACAACACAAGGATGTGTTCGGTCTCATGAAGAGCATTGATGCTTTGAATTTCAGCGGGGGAGGAACCCTGACGGGCAGAGCCCTGCGGTACATTGCACAGCATGGTTTTAGGAGCACCCCAGTCTTCGCAGATGTGCTGAATGACCTCCCGCGTGTGGTGGTCTTGCTCACTGACTCCAAGTCCCAAGACCCAGTGGCAGAAGCTGCCAAGTATGCAAGGGACAGAGATCTCTTGTTGATCGGTGTAGGCAGCAGCTTTGTGAGGGCAGAGCTGGCTGAAGTGACTGGCAACCCAAAGCAGACCATCGTCTACTCAGATCCCCAGGATTTGTTCAACAGGATCCCAGAGCTGCAGAGAAGAATTTGCAGTGTGAACAATCCTGAAGGTAAGAAAGTGATATAAGGGATGCAGGAGAAGTTTGTCAAACCAATAGGTCTTCTGGCCTCCATTGGGGTGTAGAGAAAGACAGAAGGATGAATGTCCTTGTTTTGCTTGTGTCAGTCACAGGTGAGGCACTAAGCTTCCATCGTTGCTCTTACAATCAGTGAGATTTTAACATCAACAAATGCTGTATCACCCTTCACAGTCAGTAGTCAGCAGTAATGAAAGTGGCCTGCAATTTATTCCCACTGCTTTTTTTTTTTTTTCTTTTTTGAATACACCTATATACTGAAAAATACAGTGTTTGCACGCTTTTATCCAGGCTGCCAGGTGCAGTCTCTTGATTTGGTGTTTGCAGTGGATGCCTCAGTTGGCCTGGTGAATTTTCTGCAGCTGAGGGACTTTGTCAGGACCAGCTCTTGCACTTCACCATCAATTGGGATGTCACCCAAATTGCCCTTGTGGTCTATGGCAGCAGAGCTCACACTGTTCGCATTGGACACCCACACAAACAATTCAGCTCTACTCCAAGCCATCAGCCAGATGCCTTTCCCTGGGGACGTTGCCTCTGCCAGCAGTGCCTTACTCCACATTAACGGTGACATGAGGACAGTGCAGAAGGGATCAAGGCCTGGTGTCAGCAAGGTGACACCAGTGGTCACCAATGGTGCTCACAAATGTAGGTGGCATGGAGGATGCAGCTGCCCCAGCTCAGCAGCTGAGAGACAAGGTGTCACGGTGTTTGTGGTTGTCATTGGGCATGCAGAGAGGGACACACTGCTGAGGGTTGCTGGGTCTCCCAGTTACCTGGTGTGCATGTACTCCTATGAAGACCTGCAGCATTACCAAGAACTCATCACTGAAAGAATCTGTGAAGGTGAGAACGTCCCAAACTTGCTATTTATGATGCTGCCAGCAGTTTGTGGTAAACTGTAAAACAAGCATGGAGGGACTTTCTTCTGTAGCCCTTGTTATTGTAGGCTTTATGATATGTTAATGAGTGAGCTGTTAACAGTGGGGAGACCATGATATTGAGATCTGGTGATTGTCCAAAGCAATCCTAATGGGAATAGGAGGCAGCTTTACCAAGATTCAGTGGAGATGGTGAGATCAGGCTTCATGAGACTGCTCTTTCCATCCCTGTCATGTCTATGTTCTGCCTTCACTGAAAGAAAAAAAAATTGCTCTTTTTTTTTGACACTGCTTTAAATCTGTAGAATTTGCTGTGCACTGCTGTAAGCTCTGTGGTGTAGCTGAGACTGAAGGGCACGCATTTCTGCAGCCACTAGTGTTGGTCCTTCAGTGAGTTCTCTGCTGTCTCATTCAACAGCTTTGTGCACGTGTTCTTCCTCAGTATCCCACTCTGAGACACTTAAGATTTTGTTGGCATTGCACAGCATTTAATCCTAAATCAAGATCTGTCTGGTTTTGAAGCTTGCATGCTGATAAATTGAGATCTTCAGACAACTGCTTAATTTTGTTTGCAGGACCAAAACCCTTGGCTCTGAGGCATTCAGGAGGGTATAATTTTCAAATATTCATGTAAAAAATTGTCTGTGCAAAAAAAAAAAAAAAAAAAAAAAAAAGTGCACTTCCTTCACAATTTCACATCTTGAGGACCGGTCCCCAGCTGGGAAAAAATGAACTTTGAAGTCAAGTTTGAAACACTGATGTACTGAGCGTGAGTGCTTCTGTTTGATTGAAATGAGCTTTTCAGGAAGGAAAGCAACCTGGGTTTTTAGGCATTAGTGGTGGAGAAATGTTTCTAGTTCCTTGCTGCTCCAGCTGATCCACCTTGTTTCACATTCATAGTCTAACATCTTTCTTTGTGGTCTGGTGTTTTAACCCCTATGTAAGATCAAGTGAAGAAGCAATTAGAGCAATGCTGTGATTAACAGCACAATCAAAGGTTGTCCTAATGTATTGGCATGCTGTGTCTCTTGGGGTTTGGAGCTGTCTCTGTGGGCAGAGCAGCCTGTCTCCTGGCAGGCTTCTGCAGGCAGTTTCTACCTGGAGCTTTTCAGTCTGCATCTACTGCGATGGTATTCTCAGCTGTGTTATGGTCAAAACAGTCTACTGTACCATGAAATTAACCACAGGGCCATGGTTGAAGGGGAAGAGAGACAGCAAGGTTCAGTGATTTTTGGGTAATAACATATCATTTCCTGAGACTGAATTGTTGCTTTCATTTCGTGTGCAGGTAATCACTATTTGTACATATAGGCTGGGGCTGAGGTTGATGGAAAGATAAGCCCTTCATTCAGTCTTCTGCTCCAAGTCCAAGGCTTAATAACAGAAGCACTGTCTGTGAAAGGACTAAAAAAAAAAATAAAAATATGACTCGTGATAAAAGCATGTGAAAAACAGCCTCTGCCTCTGGACACCTGGAGTATTGTGTTCTGAGGCATGGCTGAAAAGAGGCCAGGAAAAATGTCCTGGGCTCTGGGAGAAAAGATCCAAAGCAATAACTATATGTAATATCTGTGTAATGAAAATACAGCCTCCTGGGGTCACTGTGGGGTGAAGTGGAAGATGCTTTTTTAGGGTGATGCAGTGTTAATGGTCGGCTTGAGTGCAGGGTGATGGAGTCTGGGCAGACCAGTGTGCTTCCCCCAGCAGGGACCCCTGGGTCACACACAGTGGGCACGTGTTCTGCAGAGCAGAGACCAGGAAGGCTCTCTGGGCAGCAGGAAGGGCACGAAAGATGTGCGTGGCTCTGACTGTGTGGCTCTGAGGTCCCTCTGACTGTGCTGTGGTGGCTCTGCCATCAGTGCTAAATGTGGAGACATTCCTTGGGGGTAGGTTGTGAGGCAGAACCCCATCTGGGATCTGTGACAAAAGGGTTGTTTGAGTCCACATAACGTCAGCAGGAACTGAAGACTGAAATTGTTCAGATCTCAGTAAGTAGATCACTGCCAATCTTAGGTATGTGTTTGAGCATTGATGTGTATCAGCACACCTACATGGGGAGAATGGCTATTCTGTGCTATAATGTGTAGTAAGCATTCTGATGGATAGGGGGTTGAGTTTGTATTCTTTCCTTCTCCCACCTTATTCTGTCTGTTTTTTCCTACTGTGGAGCAAAGGGCAAGGCTGCAGGTCCAGACTACACCACGCAGTGCTTCAGTGAAGGAATTTCACACCCTTCCCAGCTCTGCTGCAGAGGTGCCAGAAGGCTGGAAGCAAATTCCTCTGGGATGCTGCTACTTAGTCCAGTGCATTCACAGCATGGAGCCCTGCCAGCCCTGATGACAGCTGAGCTCTGCTCTCTTAAGGGGGCTGGGAAATCTGTTACGTACTTCAAAAGAACAGAGCTAATAACAGCTTAGGCTGTGGTTGTGGGCTTTTCTCTCTAATCTCCAAGAAAAAAAAAAAAGTCCTGAAATATTTCTTTTGTTTTTTCCACTCATTTGTGAATGATTTCTTGTTCTTGCTTCTCTCACATATAAACTCAGCTCTTCTTCAGAGCACAGCAGGGTTTGAACTCCAGTGGTATTTGGGGTTGTAAACTGCTTGGGGTGTTTGTCTTGCTCTGCACTGGCAATGTCTGGACCTGGGGGCTTAGAGGTGCTTGTGTGTTCAGCACACAGCTCTGAAGATGCTCCATTTTGGAATAAGAACATTAGCAAAGCCAGCCTTTCTCTTCCATAGGTTAAACACAGAAGAGTTTGATGCAGGCTTACACCCTCTGCCAAATTTATGTGTTTCGTGTTCTCCTTTCCCCAGACGACATTTTCTGGAGTTTGGGTTATTAAATTGCTGTCACTGTTCTCTGAAGCATTGCTAATGGTTGTGCATTTAACAATTAATACTCCATCGATGTGCCTGACCCCACTTGTTCTGTCTGTGTTTGTTGCAGAAGCAAAAAGCCCTGTGAACCTGTGCAAACCCAACCCATGCATGAACCAGGGCGTGTGCATCCTCAGGCCGGGAAGCTACTGGTGTGAATGTCACGGCTGGGAAGGACCCCACTGTGAGAGCAGTAAGGCTCAGGGGATGACAGCTGCAGCACCTACCCTCCCCCACTAAACCCATCCCAAACCTCCAGCTCTTCCTTAGCAGAGAGCTGGCTGTAGTTCCCTGGCAGCTGTTTGGTGGCTGGGGCTTGGAGCTGAGGGGGCATGAATCACAGGGAGAGTAGAGATGTTTGGGATGCTGAGCTGCACTGTTTTACACATTCACTAAGCAAGTTAAAGATTGAGAAGGGCTAATAATTTTGGTAGTCCTCCCCTCCGTTCTGTTTCCCTTTCCCTGGGCCCTGCTAGAAGAAACCCTTCTTGTGGCTTCAAATGTCTGTGAGATGTTAGACATCAGCCCCAGAAGGTGTTTGCTGGGCTGTAAGGGACTGAGCATGTTCCTAGAGTGCTTACCCCACATTTGTTTCTCTTCCTCTACCACAGGAGTTCCCTGAGGAGATTCTCCAAGATCTCCAGTTCTCCCTACAGACTCCCATGTGCAGCAGATTCCAGGCAGTTTTCAGCACTTCTCTGGAGACCACCAGCACCTGAAAAGGTCCTGAGATGCTGACCCAGAAGTGCTGAGCTCCAGTTCTGACCCAAGAAGATACTGCTGCCCTTGGTTGAGTGACTGGGCCATTCCCAGTTCCTGCACTGCACAAACTGGGCTTTCCAGTGCTCTTTCTTTTGGAATCAAGTAAATATTTGATATTAAGTATTTATTTTTGGCATTTTTATGTGTAATTGTTATATTTTTAACGGACTTCTTTGGGTTAGTCTGAAAACATGTAGACATCTGAGCAATTCTGGAGCTCCCACTGATGGCGGATTATGGAGATGGCAGCTCTGGTTCCCAGAGCATAGGGGTTTTTAAGGAAGTGTTGAACAGGCTGGGTCAGACTCTGAGCCAGCTGTTATCTTGATGTTAGCTTTTGTCTCATCCTGAAGATTTGGTTGTCTTTCTAAGCTGGTATTTGATCTTGGCCAGAAGTGATACTTTCAGTGCAAAAACTGCAGAATGAAATCAAATACAGTCCCTGGTGAGCAGGTTAGGCAGTAAGTGATGGAGTGCATGTTGTGCTGCATGCAGCTGGACAGGTAAGAGGAAGAAGAAATGGTTATGAGCCTCTGTTCTTAAGTTATCTGTGCTGCTTTTTTCTCTGAGTTTATTTGGGCCAGTCTAATAAGGTTTGTCTTCTAGACGTTTTGTAGCTGCCTGTTTCATTAAGGTTTGAAAATGGTTGGTTTTGCAAAACATTCAGTGGATTGTGTGACCCCAAAGCCGTTGCTGTGTGATTCTGCCTCCCCTTGGTGTTTCAAGCTGACCTGATCCCCAGCATAGCAGCAGCCTCTGCAGCCAGAGCTCAACCTCTGCCAGGCTCTGATAATATTTGCGTCCCTGGAGACAGTTTGGCCTTATGCTTGTATCCTCCAGCACTGGATCACCAGGTCAGTTTGCCCATAAGGCTATGAACTGTGCTTCTGAGAGTGGTAAGTCACACTGTCATGTTGTTCTCTGCTGCTTTTCCCATGGCATCCATCCCCTGGGCACAGCCAGGGCAGCAGGGATGTGAGCAGTGGCTGCCAGTCCCAGTGAGAGTAGCACCTGCTGTTCAGAGGAGGAGAAAAACCTCCTCACTCAGATGTCGTGGTCTGAATAGTAATATCAGATACATAAAAAGAGAGACAAATTTTTCTGCTGGCTCATTGTCAGAAGGACAATTGTATGAGGCTCTCCTGAGACTGAAAGCTGGCCCCATGACAATATAGTGCTATTACATCTTGCAGGAGAAGCAAGAATTTCCTCTTTTCAGTACATGGTCTCCAGCAAAACAAGCTTAGCTGGAGGAAGGGCTGATCTTTTGGTAGAAAGAGAAATGATTCTACCAAGATCATTCATATAGGCAGTGCTGCGTAAGCACTGTCTCCGCTGTATAAATGTTGTCTGAAGGGAGAACAGGTGATACCAGGTTCACAGCTAACCTCAGAAGCCATGGTTTGTGTTTGTGGAGGTGGCTGAATTCCAGCTGAGCTGCACAGGAGCCTCTTCCCAATCTCCTTGTGCATCCCCTGCTGTGTGCTGAGTCCAAGATCATGACTTCTCCCCCTCACTGCTCCGTTTGCAGTCCTCCCTTTCTGCAGGGCTTTACCAAAGGAGAGCACAAACCCATCAGCACAGCCCAGTGGCCCTGCTCATAGGGGGCGAAGCACTTTGCGAGGTAAGGAGGTGTCAGGGCAGCGGGAGGAGAGGGAACAGCCAACCTGGTAACATGGGTTGGGGAATGCTGGATGTGCACTGATCCCACAGCACAGCAGGACGTGGCTGAGCAGTTGTTGGAGTTGTTCTTGGCTAATTTCTTGGCCCTTTCTCCTGCAAATCTTAATTAAAAAAGGGTAAGTGGCTCGGGGCTCTGACATAACTCCTTATTAAATGCATCCCTGCAGATTTGCTTTGAATTCCATCAGAAATGTTTAATGAGAATGTGTCTGAAGGGAGCTCATGCCCTGAAGGCTGTGGGATGCTTGAGCCTGGAAAGCCATGCAGGGGTCCCTGTGAGCCAGCACTAATCCTGTCTGGGTTAGCAGGGCACAGAGCCCATGGGCAAGGCCAGCATGTCACTGGGTATCAGGGCAGCTGCTAACAGAGCTGTGAATTCCTCTCAATCTGTAGGACTCCTGCAGGAACCTTCACTGGTCATGGGCCAGGTGCTGACTGCAGGGGAGAGCCTAATTTCTCCTGCAAGGAACTGGGATTTAGGTAAGTGCCATGAATTTCACCCCCTTAGGTCTTACCTTCCCTTCACCCTGTACAACACAAGCAAAATTATGCCTGCTGTGACTAGGAAATGTCACATGAGCTCTCCTTAAGGCCAGCTGTCTTCTTCAGCCTGCAGCAAACGTGCAGATCTTATTCTCCCCTAACCCTTTTCCTTCCTTTCCAGCTAAACCCCTTCGTCCTTTTCCTGTCAGTGATGGAAGCAGGCACCAAGCACTGCACACAGTTGCTACCTGGTGGCAAGCAGAAGGTGAGGGACTTCTCACACATTTTCTCTCTATTGATTCATTTTGCTATTTGAGCTACTGGCAGGAGCCTATTTTGTATTATTTGTGCAAGCTACCAGGGATCTTGCTACTTTCAGTAGGTTAGCTGCTAGAAAGGTTTTTCATTTCCATTGCTGTCACTCTAGAATACTGAATTATTTGTTTAAGACTTAGTCCTTTTGGATGGCCTAGCTAAGGAACTTCATAATGTCGGTTGTTTGAAGTGCATGAAAGGTACTAGGAAGCAGATCAGGGACAAGCCTCACTAAAATAGAATACACTGGCAACATAATATATTCAACATTTTATTATAAAACCCTCTAAAGCGCCACTTTATAGGTCACAGTTAGAACAAAGGAAATGCTTTGAGTTAAGAAAACAACGGGGACGCAGAGACATTACTTAACAATTCTTGTCTGGGAAATGTGTTTACCACCCAGCAGAGCCAACAGGGCAGAAAGCACAGCTGCTCTCATCCATGTTGGCTGGGTACAGCTGTGAAAGAGCTGTGGACAAGCTCTGGCAGACAGCAGGGTGTAGGGGGAGAGCTGTGTGTGTGCTTAGGGTGTGAACAGGAGCTCCTGCCAGCTTAGGATGGGGCAAAACAAAAGCTTCTTGGTGTCCATGACCTCCCTGTGCTTTGGAGAGGAAACTTCAGGTGGATGGATTTCTCTCTGCCTCCCTTTGAATTGTAATGTCTCTAAGTTCTAGCAGTTCCAGGCACGCGATCTCTCTCATTCAACAGCTTGGCCATGGAGCAGAGGGATGAGCTTTGCAAGGATACAGCATCCAAAGACTATGTTAAGTTTTAATGATTTAGAAATAAGGGTGATAGCACCAGGACAGCTAGTAGCCATCCAGAGACAGGGAGGAGAGCAGGTCCAGCACCCACCTGAACCCACGCAAAGGGGCTCTTTCCCACAGTGTTTAGCAATGTACAGCTGCTGCTATGGGCTGTGCTGCAGCTCCACAGGGACCAGAGAGCATCAGCAGTGTGGTGCTGAGTGCCAGGGCAGGAGCACAGAGATACCTTTATCTCCTGTCAGAAAGGGCATCATATCCAGCATCCTCATCCAGCAGGGTAAGCAGGCCTGGAACTTTGGTACATCATTAACAAGCCTTCAACTATGATTATTCTTTTTCAGAACAAACTCCTCAGGTGAAGGAGATCAAGATCCTCAAGAACTTTTAATGACTCTGCTTGGGAGATCATTTTTGCCCAGAGCCCTTGGTTCCACCAGTCCGTAACACAGCATGAGAAGGTGAGCAGGCATCGTCCTTCACATTCTGGCAAATCAACCCACAGGCTGGTAGCATTAAGCCTGTGCATGATGCAATTGATCACTGAAAATCCTTGCTGCATGTGTGTGTACAGTTAGCAATGCTGGGAATGGTCCTTCCTGCTGGACAGGTGCCTGTGTGGTTCTCATCTGTGTATTGCTGATCAGTCAGACCTGGGCATCTGGATGATCTACAGCTGAGAGACAGCCAGCAGCAAGGCAGGTGAGTCTTTAGCTGGCTGCAATTTGCTATGACAGGTTGAAAACCATGGGGGTACGAAGAATAGCAGAGGACTGTCCTGAACTCACTACTGTCACTAATATAGAAACCTTAATAACTTGTCAATAAACCTTCAGAGTAGAAATACACAGAACACCCCTATGTACAGTAACATTCTTGTTTACAGTAACTGGGTTAGGAATCTGACGCAAGGATTGCCACCGGTTGTTATTGTTTTAGCTATGTGATGGGACTTGTCTGGAAAGAGCAAGATTGTTTGGGATAAGTGGTAGCAGCAGCTGCTGATTCCACTGCTGCATCCAAGCAGGTGGCGTGAGGCAGAGGAGGTGCTTGGTGTGGGTTGTATTGCACACCCAACATCCACCTACTGGTGTTCGAATCCCCTTTTCTATGCGTGGGCAGTTCCAGTCTTTAGTCCATCTCTGAAAAATGTACTTCTAACTCGCGCCTTTTTTCTCCCATTCCTGCCAAAGAACAAAGGTGAATTAGTCAAAATGGTAAACTGGCAAGCTGCGGTAGCTTTAGTAAGCTCAGGAGCAGCCTGTACATCTGTTTAACAAGTGGTTTTGGCTACCTGGCAGGTCAGAGAGTTCTACTTTCATTAGAGACTTCCCATTCCAGACAGCAGAGGCATTATTGCACGCGAGCAGGATGGAGATAGTGTGCAACATTTAAAGGAGAGGCAAAGAAAAGCTCAGCTAATGTCTTTCTCTTGTTACAAAGATAGAACATAGTAAGGAGAACTCCATATGGAACAGTGGACAAACTGAAGCTGCTCCTGTTCATGTTGGACTGCTGTTTCCAGCCACTGGAGGTGCAGTCTGAAACCCCATGAGATATCAGCTATATTGCTTGGGACAGGAGCAGACTGTCACGTTGCTTCCTAATTAAACCTCAAATGTATATCAGCACAGTTCCAGTGAGAGTAAACCACTCGCTTACTCCAATTGCTGCCAACACAAGCAGTGTGGCTCAGCTCCAGTTACAGTGATTAATTTAAATCACAGTCAGAACAAACTTGGGTGAAAAGACCAGAGGAAAATCAGGCTGCTGTGAGGCATGGGTCAGCATGCTTCCCAAATCCCCAACCTGACCACAGCCATCCCTGCTGGGCTGCCTTGCTGCCAAGACGTTACCTTAGCTTTCTGTAGGACT